GGTTTCTCAGAAAACGTCTCTTGAAGATGGAAACGGCAAAAACACTGCGACTGGCAACGACAAAAACAGGGCTCCGGGATTGGAACCAGAACCGGGACCGGCAACAAAACAGCGACGGAACGGGCAACAAAAACTGTTGAACGGAACCGGGGAAAAAACAGCCCTGTCGTTTCCAGGGCCCACTATATGAGGTCTGGGTAGCCTCAGCCCTAGCCCCGAGTGGTGGCAGAGAAAACGGCCCTGTCGCTTCCAGGGCCCACTATGTAAGGTCTGGGTAGCCTCAGCCCTAGCCCCGAGCGTTGGCAGAGAAAACTGCCCTGTCGTTTCTAGGCCCACCATGTAAGGTCTGGGTAGCCTCAGCCCTAGCCCCGAGTGTTTGCAGAGGTGTCCCTGGTCCAGGGTGTCCCCAGGATTTCCAAGGTCCACGCGGCCTCTGGGCCAGCCCGCACGAGGCCCCCAGGGGGGCCCGGGGGCTGCGAGGTGCAGCGAAACGCTGGGGACACCCTGGGCCAGGACAACCTCTAGCAACACCCATTAGCTCTTGGAACAGAGAGTAAACAAAAGTCAAAACAGATCAAACATGGTCAACAGAGCACGAAAAATCGTCCCCATACTATTGTTTAACTAGTTTCGAAGATTCCTCCTGTAGAGGGACATGCCCGACTTGACATCAGCCCTGGCCCAAACCCTGATCGCCCTGGCCCCAACCCTGACCCTTGATACTGACAGCAGCGATCATGGGCCAGCTGTTGCTGGAGTGCGGCCTCCAAGTGAGGCCACAACCACCACCAGAGACTGATGAATGGTGAGGGGCCACGCATATAGCGAATCGAATAGCATCCAGCCTGCTGGGCTTCGAAAGCCTCGACCATTTGAAAACTCATTTCGGGGCTGACAGGCGATCGAACAAGTGTTTACTCAGGCATAAACACCGACCTAAGAGAAGTGGTCTGAGGAATCGGAGGTCCATGTCTGCAAACATAAGTGCCGATGTGCGGAAGAGAGGAAGACAAGACAAGGCAAGACAAGACAAGACAAGGCAAGACAAAGGCAATACAATGCAAGACAAGGCAAGACAAGACAAGACAATGCAAGGAAAGGCAAGGCAAGGCAAAGCAAGGCAAGGCAAGGCAAGGCAAGACAAGGCAAAGCAAGGCAAGGCAAGGCACGACAAGGTAAGACGAGACAAGGCAAGGCAAGGCAGGGCAGGGCAAGGCAAGACATTGACACTCACGAACTTTTGTTCCGAGTGGAAGAGGAGAAGAAATGTGGAGGCCAAAGACGGAGAGAAGGGAGGATCCGGGCTGTCTGTGCAGCGATGCTCTGGCCATGACAGGCAACCGCATCCCCTCTTGTCCTCCTGCTTCTCCTCCTGCTTCTTCTCCTCCTCCTCCTCCTCCTCCTCACCATCCTTTCTCCCCCCAAGGGCTCCCCCAAGGATTTCCATAACGGCCGGGGGACCACATAGAACAAACGATTGGCCAGACTCTGGCCCAACGATTGGCCCCATGGTTGTGCTGCTTCCATCGTACTTACGGGCCACATCCCAGAAATCATTTCGAGCACCCCCAAAAAATATCGAAACAATGTGGAACGAGCATCACCTCCTGGGGCCCGACACGTGAAGACCATCCAGTTTCAGTACTGTCGTGGTGCTCGAAATTCGATTATGGTGGTCAAGGCTACGGTAGGCTAGAACATCATAAAACCACGTGTAAACCCTACCCTTGCAGGTCAGGTGTAGAATAAAAGCGGCCGGGATTCAGGATTCGAGAAACGCCTGCTGCCAAGAGAAAAACCCAGCAGGGGCGTCCGAAAACTATCCCAGCGTCCACCATCGGACCCACATGGGGCAATGTTCGCAGGTGGTCGCACACAGGAAGAAGCCAGCACAAGAAGCCGTGAGCCCTGGTGTTCGGGTCGAAGGCCTCCTTAAGAAGGCAGGAAATCCCCCCCCATAAGAATCACTCCCCGCAAGCGAAGCCGTGCAGTAGGCGCCCCCCTGGAAGGGATCGAACAGGGCAGGGCCGTTCAGTAAACGCCTAAGGCCGTTCAGCAAACGCCATCTGTCGGGGTCTGTGTTGTACTTCGTCCTCGCTTGACTCCTCGAGCCCAACAGATACAGGGCACCCAAGCAGAGTGCGAGCGGCCTCTGAACTTCACACGAAAGAAAAGGATCCCGAGGGAAAGGAGTCCTGGACCCCAGGGTCCTTACCCAGGAGCAGCTTTTCATCCCGAGTCGTCGTATGACGGCCCAAGGGGTCCTGGGATGGCCCCCGCAACCCGAAAACAACGGAACACCTCCGAGACCCGTCGCCCGCTGGATCCGACTGCTTTGTGGCGGCGGTAGCGGCCTCTTTTTTTGTAGAGCTCGCAAGCTCGCAAACGAAGTGCATTTGCTCGGTGCGCGGTGTCGCGCCAAAGGGCACGCAGCGTGCGCATGATGGAACATGTTTCCCACGGCGTGGGTCGGCGAAGCGCGGTCGTGCACCAAACGGCCTTCACGAAGGCGGAGGAGAGTGGAGGCAAGATATTCGGAGATGCGTCGGGCGTGGGAGCGAGGGGAGGCGGGAGCCGCGATCGTCCCCATCCCTGCCTTGGGGCAGAATGGATGCTGAGGACCCCGGGTGACGCGTCCATTGCCATGGCATCCGAAGGGCGCCCCAAAAAGGTAAAGAACTTTCAGCACGCGGAGACGTAATTGAGCCCCTCCTCTGTATCTGGGCCGCTGTCGAATCGTTTGGTCCGTGGCGCTGTGGGGAGGTCCAGCTGGCTGAGAAAAAAAATGATTACATAGACGCAGAAGTCATACATAATCGAACCAGCGCGACGGCTTGAAAGCTCTAGGACAGCATGCGCAGAGTCATCGGGGAGGGAAAGCACGCAGGTCTCTGCGTCTTGCCGACAAGGGAGCCCCGACACTTGTCGTATTGCGCCACCGTGCGAGCGCGAAAGCAACATTGCAGCATGCTTGCTGCGCCCGGCTGCCCCCGCAAGCCGACCGAGAAAGCACAGTGAGGTCAGCACCAAGCGTGGGCGCTCGATTGAAATGGCCGCTAAGCGCTGCCAACGTCGCCGGGTCATATCTTCCAGACCACTGCCGCATGCACAGGCAGCGCCAGCTGCCCTATCCATCGACATGCTCTCGCACGCGCGCGTTCCCTTCTCCTCCTCCTCCTCCTCCTCCTCCTGCTCCTGCTCCTCCTCCTCCTCCTCCTCCTCCTCCCCCTCCTCCTCCCCCCCCTCCCCCCGCAGCACCGATACCCCGATGCCGCGCGCTGGATGTAGCCGAGGAAACAAACATTGAACCACCATGGCTGCATTGTGTGCCTGTACCAGTGTGGCTGGCAGTCAACCTTGGGACCGCAGAACATAGAATATGCACCGTGGCTGCTCTCGGGTGTGACCGAAGAACTGCCGTGACATTTCAGTTAGGCAGAAGGGAGTCGGTCCTGGGGAGAGCGTGAGGTAGCGAGGGGTCAGTCTTGGACCGTGCCTGAGGTATCAGGGGTCTCTCTTGGATCAACCATGCGGACAACAGCGCGGGCATCGCGACTGGATTCAGCAGCATGACCTGGTTGAACACCTAGTCAGCGCGACTGGTAGCAGCACTGGCATCATGAACCAGGTTTTAACTCTATAACTCTATAAGACTGCACATGTTGCATATTTATAGCAGCTTGAGTTGCTGAGGCTGTTCAGCAACACAGGCGAATGGCATGTACTGTAGACGATCTACAAATCCGCTTGCAAATGAACAAAATGAGCCGCAAGATCTAAACACTTCGGCGTCGCGGGTGACCGATGCCGCCCCTTTCTGAAATCCGGGGTAGCCGCACCTCCTCCTCCTCCTCCGCCTCCTCCTCCTCATCCTCCTCCTCCTCCCTCCTCCTCCTCCTCCCTCCTCCGCCTCCTCCTCCTCCGTCCTCCTCCTCCCTCCTCCTCCTCCTCCTCCTCCTCCTCCTCCTCCTCCTCCTCCTCCCTCTCCTCCTCCTCCTCCTCCTCTCCTCCTCCCTTCCTCCTCCTCCTCCTCCTCCTCCTCCTCCTCCTCCTCCTCCTCCTCTCCTCCTCCTCCTCCTCCTCCTCCTCCTCGCTCTCCTCCTCCTCCTCCTCCCTACCTCCTCCTCCCCTCCTCCTCCTCTTCCTCTCCTCCTCTTCCTCCTCCTCCTCCTCCTCCTCCTCCTCCTCACTCCTCCTCTCCTCCTCCTCACTCCTCCTCCTCCTCCTCCTCCTCCTCCTCCTCCCCTCCTCCTCCTCTCCTCCTCCTCCTCCTCCTCCTCCTCCTCCTCTCCTCCTCCTCCTCCTCCTCCCTCTCCTCCTCCTCCCCTCCTCCTCTCCTCCTTCCTCCTTCCTCCTCCTCCTCCTCCTCCTCCTCCTTCCTCCTCCTCCTCCTTCCTCCTCCTCCTCCTCTCCCTCCTCTCCTCCTCCTCCTCCTCCTCCTCATCCTCCTCCTCCTCCTCCTCCTCCTCCTCCTCCTCCTCCTCCCTCCTCCTCACCTCCCTCCTCCTCCCCTCCCTCCTCCTCCTCCTCCTCCTCCTCCTCCTCCTCCTCCTCCTCCTCCTCCTCCTCCTCCTCCTCCTCCTCCTCCTCCTCCTCCTCCTCCCTCCTCCTCCTCCCTCCTCCTCCTCCTCCTCCTCCTCCTCCTCCTCCTCCTCCTCCTCCTCCTCCTCCTCCTCCTCCTCCTCCTCCTCCTCTCCTCCTCCTCCTCCTCCTCCTCCTCCTCCTCTCCTCCTCTCCTCCTCCTCCGTCCTCCTCCTCCTCTCCTCCTCCTCCTCCTCCTCCTCCTCCTCCCTCCTCCTCCTCTCCTCTCCTCCTCCTCCTCCTCCTCCTCCTCCTCCTCCTCCTCCTCCTCCTCCTCCTCCTCCTCCTCCTCCTCCTCTTCCCTCCTCCTCCTCCTCCTCCTCCCTTCTCCTGCTCCTCCTCCTCCTCTTCCCTTCTCCTGCTCCTCCTCCTCCTGCTCCTCCTCTTCGTTCGCCCTCCTTCGTCCCAAAAGCAGTGCCTCAGCTGCCCGCGGAGCGCGGGGGCCTCGCCGAAAGCGACCTCCCTGCGTGGCTGGGGCGGGCGTGGGCGGGCGCCTCTGCGGGCGGGCGCGCGGGCCCGACCGCCTCGCCGCCCGACTGCCTCGGGCCCGCGGGGCACGGGATGATCCTGCGGTCGTCGAGGTTGGTCGGCCTGTGCGGACGAAGGCAAATCCACATGAACATAAACTTGTGGCGCTCAGCGCGGATTTCTGAGTTTCGCGCTGAACCCCTCTCCCTGGCGCGCGGAGCGCGCCAGGGGCGGCGCCGGAGGCGCCGCCAGGGGGGGCCCAGCTCGGATCCAAGAAGCCCGCGCGGAGCGCAAAGAGTTTATGCTTATGGCGTTTTTTCATCTTCGACTGTGGCAGATCCTCTGGCCCAGATGGTTCACGGCCGTCGAGGTCATCGATGTCTGTCGCGCTTGCGGTCGCCGAGGCTGGTCGGGCTCGCGAGGCTCTTGCAGGATCCCGGCGCCCACCCCGCAAGGCCTCGGGGACTCCCGGACGACGTCGAAGGTCGACTCGGTGTCGCTCATCGACTCGACGTCGCTCGTCTGGCCGTTCCTCGCCCCGCTGCTGACCAGCTGCACTCGTGGCACCTCGGGCGCCGTGAACGCCTTGGGCACGCGCCGGCCCGGCGCGCCGCTGCCCGGGCGAGCCTCGGAGATCCTCAGGCCGAACCTAGGGGAACGAACAATGACATAAGCATAAAACTCGGAGGTCCGCGCGAAAATTCTTGGGTACTCGCTGGACCCCCTCCCTGGCGCGCGGAGCGCGCCGGGGGCGGCGCCGGAGGCGCCGCCGGGGCGCCCCGGCGCCATCCGAGAACTCCGCGCGGCCCTCCGAGTTTGTACGTCTATCTTTGCTCCCTTAGAGAGCCTCTTCAGCTCGAGGAGGTCGTGGAGAGTCACCACAGGCCCCGGAGGAGGCCCGAGCCCGTAAGGCCTGCGGACCCTGCAGGGGCCGAGGGCGCCCGGGCCCGGCGCGGCCTCGCCGAGGCCGCGCGGCGGCCTGCCGGCAACGGGGCGCCCGCGGGCCGCCCTGGGCGTCGGGGGCCGCCGCGGCGCGGGCGGCGCGCTGGGCGCCTCCGCCCACGTTCGTTTTGGGGACCTTCCCACAGCCAGTCGCCGCCCTCGTGCGTCGATGCTGTGTCGAACGTCCGTCGACGCTGCGTCGAACCCGAATCGGCGGCGTCCCGCGAGCTCGGCGCGGGTAGGTCCTCGAACTTTCGAACGAGAGCGTTCCGCGCCCTTTCGCTCCCGACAGGTTGCGATGCCAGTCGCGCTATTTCCTATATACTCGGTGGCGCGCCGAAGGGGTGGCGGGCGGGGATGGCCTTCTTAAAAAGCCAAAGACTTCATAAAAGGCACCGCCCTTCTCACAGATGTCCCGAGGCTTCTCAGAAGCCTTCCTAAAACCCTGCCAGTTTCGAAAAACACCTGCCTTCGTAGATGCCCCCTGCCTTCTTAGACGGCTGCCCCCCTCACGCCACCCCCTGGCGCACTGTTGTTCAACGATTTGGGGGTTCGCATACTTTGCGATACTCCCCGACGGCCCAAGACAGCCCCAGAGGCCATCTAGACAGATTGCCCCAAAAACGCCCGAGAGGCCTCCAAAATGGCCCCAGGACGGCCCAAGAGCGGCCCCAAGAAAGCACCAAGAGAGCCCCAAGGCAGTCCCAGGCGGCCTCCAAGACTGCCAATATGGCCCCACTGAGGGACCCAAGGCGCCTCCAAAACGCCCAGAACGCCCCCAAGAGATACCGAGATAGCTCAAGACGCCTCCATGACGGCCCGAGGTGGGCCCCGAACGGCCACAGACGCTCTCCAGGATAATCCCCCCCCCAAAAAAAAAACGAAAACCAACAGTTATTTCATATGTGTTGAAAATTGTGGGGGCTTCCTCTTGCTCTGCCTTTCGACGGTCCCCTTCCTCTCCCAAGTGTTCCCCGGAGGGTTTCCACAACGGCCAAGGGAACGCACGGCCCGATAGCTTGGCCGAACTCGGGCCGCAACGCTCGGCCACGCCATCGCTTCTAAAAGGCAGGGGGCGACGGTTGTTCGCCGTAGTTGTCTAAGATGCAAGCTTGCCACGTCCTCAGAACAGATTTTGGTGCGAAATGAATGTCGATACCATTGCCCCGCCAAGGGGTTCCGAAGCAGCAGATATTCGAAGTCCCCATGTGGCTGCAGGCGTGGCATTTGTGTGTCTGCACTCAATGCACGCCAGCGGCGTGATTAATGTAAGCAAAGCAAATAGCACGTGACCGAGAAGATGGGAGCTCCCGCGCAATGAACGACCCAGGAAGAGCACTTTGGAGGTGCCTGCGGGCGCCTCGGCAAGGCACTTGTGCAGTGCCTGCGGGCTGCCCAGGAAAGGCACTGGGGAGGTGCCTGCGGCCAGCCCTGGAAAAGGCATTTGCGAGGTGCCTGCGTGGCCGTGGCCGCGGCCGGGGCCGTGGCTGCGCGGCCGCGCGCATGGGGCCAGCAGCTGGCTTTTGAAGGCTTTCCGCCCCCACGCCGAGCCATGGAAAGGGGCGCGGGGGTGCATGACGTCCCGCCCGACGAACGTCGCGATGAACGTTCCAACAACGTTGGCGTGAATCAGCAGGTCGGTGAATCAGAAGAGGATGTGTGTCGCGACCATCGACATCACCAACAAGAACGTCCACCTGTGCTACATCGCCTTTGACACGGGTCCAACCGAGCGAACCGAAGTGTTCGGCCCAGGATTGCCCTGGCCGGGGCGGCGGTGGTTTCAGCACATTGGATACGGCACGTTGGCGGCCAATGTGTCCCCCCAAAAGAAGTTACCAACGTTATGCGGTGTAAGCTACGCTGTTTGAATTACACGGCGCAATCCACGAGGCGCAAGCTAATTACGTGGCGCAAACTGCGCGGCGCAAGCTACGTGGTGCAAGCTACGCTGTGTAAGCAACGTGGTGTAGATTGGCCGATCCAACTTATTTAGAATGCAAGCATTGTTTGGGGAATTTTCCTCGGCCCGTCGACTTCGTCTCCGCCGCCGCACCGCGGGTGCCGAATGGGGCGCCCCTCGGCCTCGTCGAGGCCTCTGTCCTGCGAGCATGCCCGAAATTATGGCCCCCAGGATGGTTCGTCGCACCAGTTGACCCCAGGAGTGCCCACCTTCCCTCATGCCCCCAGGATGGTGCAACGTCAAAGCTGCATTGCGAACGCGGACGAAGCTCTGGGGGACGAACTATGCCCACCGACAGCCAAGTCGCGCGCCAACGGAAGCGACCCCCAGAAAATTCTCGGCGGGGAGGGCAACTGCCCCGCGGCTGCCAAAAACGGCTGTCGTGAAGACAGCCGCTGGAGATGATTTCAATTACTTCCGCTGGCTTCCGGTTGATCGGAACGCGAGCTTGCTTCCGCCGGCCGCCGCCTGAATTCATTCCGCCCTCGCCCGCCGGACCCCGCCGGCCTCGGTGTTTTTTCTGCGGGGCAACCGCGCCAAGCACAGCTCAAGCCGAGATCCTTTGCGCCGCACATCCGCTGCGAACACTGCCACGGGGCGCCCGCTCTCGAGGCCACGGGGCTGCTGGCGCGCCATAGGCGCCAGCGCTACCTCGCGCACCAGGGGCCAATGCGCAATCCTCTATTTTCGGCGGCGCGCCGACAAGGTAGGGGGTGGGGGGGGCTTCTGAAAAGGCAGAATGCTTCCCACAAGGCAGGGCTTCCCGGTTTTTAAGTAGCACCCTGCCTTCTGAGACGCCGCCCCCCCCCCCCAATGCACTCCTCGGCGCGCCGCCCAGAATCCTCGCTCAGGACTCCCCGTCCACTCCGAAAGGCGGCTCCGCGCCGAACACCGCCGTCGCCTCGGAGGTTGCGTCGGCGAACGGTTCGGACGCGCCCGCCTCGGCAGCGCCGGCCCCGCCGCCTCCCGCTGCCGGGGGCTCCGCGGCCACCTTTTTCAGATTATCAATCAGCCTCGTCGTCTTCTCGTCCTTCTTCCCCTCCAGCATGAGGATGCTCGCCTGGCCCTGGCCCGGGATGAGCTTCACCACGCGCGCCTTCTTGTTCAGCCACAACAGAGGCTCCTTCGGGGACTTCGTGATCATCACGATGTCGCCCACAGCGATGACCTCCGGCTCCGTCTGGTGTTTCTTCGGGGCCCCGCCCCCGGTCGCGCCCGACTGGGGCGCACGCGCCTCAACTCGGCGGCGCGCGGAGGGGGTTGGGCCGAAGGGGGGGGGGCTTCTTAGAAGGCAGGGTGTTTCTGAGGAGCCCTAAGCACTCGAAGGGTTTCTAAGAAACACCGCGCCTTCTCAGAAGCCCCCCCCTTCCCCCGCCCCCCCCCAGCGCGCCGCCGATCAACGCCCGGGCCGCCCGTCGCCGGCGCCCCGTCTGGCTTCGCCGCCTCGGTCACCCCCTGCTTCGGCTCGCCCGCAGTCTCGTTGGCCAGCTCCTGCTGCGACTTCTTCTTGGCCTCCAGCTCCGCGACCACCCGGCGGTGACACCACATGAGCGCGTGGGCCGGCACGTCAGGCGTGACGAGCGGCACCGCGGAGCTCGCCATGGCGCGCACCTCCTGCAATATCTTCGACGGGATGCCCGTGTAATCTCGCGCCTTGCTGGTGAAGCCAACAGCGCCGAGCCGGAGGGAGGCCACCTCCGCGAAGATGCTTGCCATGAACTTCGAGCGCTGCTCCTGGGATCGATCCCGGCCCTCGTGGTTGTCCAGGGACCCCATCCCTGGCTCCACCATGTCCTTGGGCCCCTTCGCTTGGAGCTCGTTCAGGCGGACGTACAGAGCCCCCAAGCCGCGAACCACGGGATTCACCAACGATTCCTGCGCGCCGCCCTTGACCACGTGCTGGATGGCGTTGACCACGTTCTGGATTGCGCAATCCTTGTACCGAGCGCCTTTTAGCAGCAGCCCAACCACCTGGTCCGGGTCCCCGGGGAACCACGCCTCGAGCAAACTGAACTCGTCCAGGGCCATTTTCATGAGATGCGCCAGCCTGGGCCCGGGCGAATTCGTCATCATGGCCTTCGCGAACTCCAGCTCCTTCTTCTGCTGCTCGTCCGCCTGCGCGTTGCCGAGCAGCGAGATGATCAACTCCAGCCTGGCCCTGCTGTCCGCGTTGCCCGCCTGCAAAGCGGCCGAGCCGTCGCTCTCGCCGCCTGGCTGCTCGCCGCCTGTAGAGGCCTCCTAGATGGGGTCGGAGTAGGTGGGGTCGGAGGGCGGCGGCGCATCGACGACACATCGCCGACGCATCGGCGATGCATCGGCGATGCGTCGGCGATGCGCCAGCGATGCGTCGTCGACGTCAGCGATGAATCGGCGACGTCGACGCGAAGCACGTCGGGCTCCACATCGAGCCGCATCGGCGATGCATCGGCGATGCGGCGCGCTCCTTCGTCCCCGTCTAGTCCGACCCCACCTAGGAGGCCTGGAGCCTGGTTGCTCGCCGCCTGGCTGCTCGCCGCCTGGCTGCTCGCCGCCGGGCCGCTCGCCGCCTGGCTGCTCGCCGCCTGGCTGCTCGCCGCCGGGCTGCGCGCCGCCGGGCTGCTCGCCGTCGGGGCGCTCGCCGCCCGGCTGCTCGCCGCCTGCGCGGGCGCCCGAACTGGGCACGGAAAGGATGGGCACAATGCCCAACAACAAATGTTGTCCCAAACCAACAGCGGCCGCTGTTGGGCAGGCGGCATTCTTTCTCGAAAGAACGCAGGCCGCGGCGGCGTGGACAGCGAGTCCTGTTCAAAATGAACCAAATCCGCTGTTGGGCATTCTACCCATTCTTTCCGCGCCCACTTCGCTCGCAGAAAAAGAAAAAGAATAGAAAATAGCCAGAGAAAAAAAAAACGAACATACGAAAAAGCATAATCATACAAAAAAGCGAAAAAAAGAAAAAAGAACCTGGCTGCTCGCCGCCGGGCTGCTCGCCGTCGGGTTGCTCGCCGCCCGGCTGCTCGCCGCCTGCGCGGGCGCCCGAACTGGGCACGGAAAGAATGGGCACAATGCCCAACAACAAATGTTGTCCCAAACCAACAGCGGCCGCTGTTGGGCAGGCGGCATTCTTTCTCGAAAGAACGCAGGCCGCGGCGGCGTGGACAGCGAGTCCTGTTCAAAATGAACCAAATCCGCTGTTGGGCATTGTGCCCATTCTTTCCGCGCCCACTTCGCTCGTGCTGAACCTGGCTGCTCGCCGCCGGGCTGCTCCGCAGCCGGGCCCGGCGCCGCGCCGCGCCACGAGCCGGCTGTCTTCGCCAGGGCGAATTGCGCCTCGAACCGGGCCTTCCGGAAGCCAGCCAGGAACGGGCTCCCAGCAAGGGCGGAGATGTGCTTCGGCGGAAGGCCGTACTTCTCGAGCTCGCTCTCTGAGCCCGAAAACTGCCCCAGGAGGTCCACTTCGCCGATGCTGCAGATCGCCTGCGCAATCTTCGGGACCAGGGCGGGGTGCAGCTCCTTGGCCTCGCGGAAGAGCGGCGCGAAGTGGCCGATCACCTCGCGCGTCTTCCCCTTCAAGATCCAATCGGCGAGGTGTTGAAAGAAATACCTAGACTCAACGGACAAGGTAAAAAGAATACACAAAAAACAAGAGACATATAAACAAAAAAAATACAAATACAAAAAGAAAAAAAGAACAGACACAACACACAAAGACAAAAAAAGACAGCAACGAAACACGGGAAACAAGAACAAATAAACAAAGACAAAAAAAAAAAAAAACAAAAAAAAAAAACACAACAACCAAAAAAAAAAAACAAAAAACAAAAAAAAAAAAAATCAAAAACGGCATAACCAAAGACAAAAAAAAAAGAAGGAACACAAACAAAAAACAAAACAAACACGGACAAAAAGATTTAAGAAGAACAGAATACAACAAAACCAAGTACAAAGAGAACAAAAAAAAAAGAAAGAAACAAACCACAACACTAAGAAACAAAAAAAAAAAAAAAAAAAACGTCTCATCATTCAAAACGATTTCTCCGAATCCCTCTTCTTGTGCTCGGCCTTCTGTTTTTTCAAGTAGCCAACGTACATCTTCGCCCGGAAATGGGCCGCGTCCGTCTCTCCTGGCACGTAGAAGCGGCCGGCCTCGCAAGCCTTCTGGCAACAAAAAAAAAAAAATAAAAAAAAATGCAGAATAAAAAAAAAAAAAAAAAACCTCACCCGAATCTTTCGGAGGGTAAAAAGCAAAAATGCACAAAGAACCAAAAAAAAATAAAGAAAAAAAAAGTCCAACCGGAGGGTCTTGATGGACACGTCGTCGTTGTCCTCGCTGCTGACGTGCTCGGCCAGAGTCTTCCTCCGCTTCCGCTCGGGCGCCGCCTCCGCCCCCCCCGGCGCCACGCCCGACGAAGCCGCTGCCAGAGCCGCCGGGGCCGGTGCCATGCCCTGCGGGGCCGCCGCTGGGCCGGACCCTGCGGCGACTTCGGCGCCGCAGCTCTGCCCCGAAGCATGGGCGTCGCCATCCTCGAGGCGCGGTTTCTTCGAGCCCCTGTCCTTTGTAGCTTTCCAACCGATCGTGCGCCTGATGGCCCCGCGCATGTACGGCCCGGCGGGGGCGTGAGCATCCAACACCCACACCCTGTCGTGGTCGACCCCCTGGGCCTCGCTGGGCCCGAGAAGCCAGAAGCTGACTTTTTTGTTCTTCCCCACATCCGGGAAAGCCTCTTTCTGCACCAGCCACACCCCCCGTTCTTCTTTGACGAACTGCGTCACTCTGTCGGCCCACTCTCTGAACGTGCGCATGTCAATTTTGGTGAGCCCCAGCTTCTTCAAGGCCCCGCAGAGCTTGAAATGCACAGGGTCATCGGGGTCCACATCCGCGCCTTTCTTTTTCATCTCCCGCAAGGTGCGCCGGTAGCTGCTCGCCAGGGGGCCCGTTGTGGGCACGTCCTCCATCGCTGCATTGACCGCCTCCGGGGTCGGCGGTCCTTCATTCACCATGGCGGCCGGTGGCGCAAGATCGAGCGATAATCTCAGGCTTCGAAAGTCTCTGGCTTGAGACGCAAAGCGCGGCAGCGTGTTACCCACCACGCCACACATCCTGGCGTCGTGAAAACATCATGACGGGAGGCTGTTCGTCATTATCGGCCTTTGGGGGCCCTCACAGGGCCCTGGGACCGTCAAAAAGAAAGGACTCAGTACGAAAATTCGGTCCCAGGGAAGGCCTCCAGACCTCCAGGGGCCGACGTTTTGAACAAATGACGACGTCGGATGTACGCCCGCCTGCAGGTGCGACGATCCTGCGTCGATCCTGTGCCGATCCTGCGTTGCAACTCAGGAGGCAGACCGAGGTCGGGCATCTAGATACTTGAAACTAGCGCTTCTGGTGATTTAGTTCCTGTCGACAGCTCCACCATACAGCTTTGTAGCTTATCAGCAGCCCGAGTTACCTCATGAAGGCCATCAAAATCTCTTAAAACATGGCAGAGTACAAATATTTGTTCGAACCCAGCTTTGGTAGCATACCGAGTTCGGGCATCTAGATACTCGAGACTAACGCCCGATACTGTGACGATCCTTAGTCGATCCTGTGTCGACCCTGTGTCGATTTTGCGTCGACACCCCGTTGTTGCGTCGATCCTGCGTCGTTCCTGCGCCGAGTCTGCGTCGATCCTGCGTCGGTCCTGCGTCGATCCTGCGTCGATCCTGCGTCGATCCTGTGTCGATCCTGTGTCGATCTTGCGTCGACACTCCGTGGTTGCGTCGATCCTGTGTCGATCCTGTGTCGATTCTGCGTCGATCCTGTGTCGATCTTGTGTCGATTCTGTGTCGATCCTGTGTCGATCGTGTGTCGATGCGTCGATTTTGAGTCGAAGCTGTGTCGATGTTGAGTCGATTTGTCGACGTTGAGTCGAAATTGTCTCGATCCGTCGATGTTGTGTCGATTCTGTGTCGATCCTGCGTCGATCTTGCGTCAGAAGGAGGCCCCCAAGCCCTTCCCCCACGCCCTTGTTTTCCTCCGGGCGCCCACGCGTCTACGTTCGGAGAGCCCCGCCTTCAGGCCAAACCGCAGCCCTCGCTGCTAAGTCATTGCCAAGGGGGCCCATTTCCGGATCTTGCCGTCTGCCTCCTCGTTCCCCGTTCCGCCACCAGGCACCTCCATCCTCCGCAAGTCGGCCTTCAGTTTCTCAAGCTCGTTGAAGAAGAAGGTGGCTCTGGCAGGGCTGGACTCGGCAAACTTGTTAACCTGGACCCTGTACAACATCCAAGCGCGAAGGACCAGCGCGGTCCTGTCCCTGGCAAGGGCGTCATCGCCGTGGTGTTTGAGCGTGGCTGCCTTCGATCTCTGCACACGTTTCCCCATGAAGTCCTCGCCGTGCCACCGCTTCAAAACGCTCATCTTCATATCCCCGTACTTCACCGGGTTCTCTGACAGCGTGAAGTAGCCGTTGTTGAACAGCGTCCAAGTCCCAGGGAGCGCCCTGTCTGAAGGAGAGCCGCCGTCGGCGCCCTCTTTGTCGTCACCGTCGTCGTCCGCACCCTGCTCGTCTAAGTCGCGCACGAGTTCCTCGGCCTCTTCCTCTGCCCCTCCCTCCATCTTGAGCAGCAGGCTCTCGCAATCCGAGCCGTCGCCCACTGCTGCGTCGCCCGCGTCGGCCGCGCCGGCGTCTGCCTGCGCGCGCGGGACAACCACGGGGGCGCGGTGCTCCAGCAGGGGCGCCACGCACTTGATGGCCATACCATCCGGAGCGACCTTCGCGTCGATCCCGCACGTGTACACCCGAACGGCAGCATCGTCGTGGGGCACGTTGCGCGTCTTCGCCAAGCAGGCGGCGCCGAGGAAACCAGCGACGTAGTCGGTGTGGGCAGGGAGGAAATACTCATTGCACCCTGGGCGGGAATTCAGCAATGGCAGGTACCGGCACTCTCCGTTTAGACAGCAGAAGAAGCACAACACCTTGTGTTCCGAGGCGCCGCGCTGCCATAGCAGCATCGCATACCCAGATGGTAGGTGAGCGATTTTGCGCTCCCACAGCGGCGGTTCCTTCGTAATCTTCGGTCCCAGGCGGGCAACGGCCGCGAGGCCCTCCCTCGGCGTCACTCTGCGGCTAAACTGCTGCCTCTCCACGGGGGCTTCTCGAAGACAGTGCCTAAAAAAGCCGTCGTTCGTGTCTAGCCACTCGAGCCAGTCCCGCTGCGTCACAGGAACGTGCGCCGCGTTGGCCAGCCGGGCCAAGCGGGCAGCCTCGCCCTGTCGAGCTGCGACTTCCGCTTCCAGGTCGGCTGTGTGCGCCTCGACTTGTGACCGCAACGCATCCTTATCGCCCTCGTGCACAAGAGTCGAAGAAAGAACACCATTCCGCAGCGGATCATCACCGTAACGACAGCCCCTTGGCCGAGGGACTAAGTGCGGCCATCTCTGCCGAGCCAGCGACCAGATATTGCATCTCTTCAACGAAGACGCCTGTTTGGCCGCCCGCATCCTGCAGGCCAGGAAACGCTCCCTCTCGACATGGTACTGGTGGAGCAGCTGATTCCGCGATGCTACCGCCAACGACCTCGCCTTCGCATGGTCTGGCGCCCTGTCCTGATGAATCTTTCGTTCCGCGTCAAGACTATTGGCCAACATGGAACCGAGCACTTTGTCGATTTCCTCCTGCACTTCATCTGCCATCAACCACATCGCTGCGTCGCTGAGGCTCCTGCAGCGCCAGGCCTCCCGCTTCAACGCCAGAGAGTAGCCCAAGTCTAAGTCGTCGTCGGGCACCTGCAAGAATTCCTCGCGCTTTCGGGAGTAGCCCATGGGATTGTGCCGCCGAGACATCATCCACAACTTCCCTGGAAAGCGCCCATACATATCAAACCGCATGACAATGTGCGCTTGCGTCACAAGCAAAGCCGTCAACCATGCGGGAACAACGAGCTTCTCGTCCACGCATAGTAAGGGCAACAATCGCCTCAGATGTTCACCCGTGTGTTTTTGGATGTCTCCTTGCGCAATCCTCACGAAGTGTGGTCTTGGGTCGTCCACCTTCGGCTTGCTCTGGCTTGCCATGCTGACAGCGCGGTGGCTCACTTGTAAACGCAGCGACGCTTTCCGCAGGTCCGAGGAGGTCTGTGGATGGCAGAAAAAAACCCGCATTGCCTTGATGCGGTTCGCGCCCTGGGTCCGAAGGCGCCCCTTCTGCTCTGGAAACAAGTCTCTGCCAAGCCCCAACATATCCATCAAAAGGAGGGCCCACACAGCAGGCGCAAATAAGAAAAAACGTGTCGTTATAGGCTTCGATTGAATCTTGAGCACCAGGGGAAGCAATATCTGAAAAAGGTCACCACGCACGCTTTCCTTATCCGCCTCCTCAGAGGAGCAATGTTCCATAGCCAGGACGCTTCGATTCAAAATCGTCAACAACGATGGTGGTAGGACGCCGTGGCCGTAGAGCTCTTGCAATTGAAGCGAACGCCGGCGCATCTCCTGCGACGCGGCATCCGTCCCGTCTCCTGCCATGTGCATTCGGCTCAATATGGACGCCCGGAGGGTCGCGGACATTTCTTCCGTGCGCTCCGGAATCACATACTTAAACGCCCTGGAAGCGGCAGCGCAAAGCGCGTCTGAGTTCAGCGGGTTCTGTAAACATCGGCCACATATGGCGCACTGCACAACCAAGTTTGCCTGATGAGCTGCGCATTTGACCACGACCAAAGAATATCTGATCCCCAGCTGGCGCTCCGCAGCATGGAGGAAAGCAAACAGCCGTTTGCAAGCCGCCTCGTTCGTGGCAACGGCATCGCCAATGACGACGTGGACGATGCGGACGGTGGCGCGCGGGCACCCATCCTTGATGGCACGGGCAATGCTCTCGAACACCTGGATTAGACATTCTGCAATCGTGGGCGCGTCCTTGACGGACATGCCCATCAGCTCGGTGAGCACTGGCACCCGCGCCTGTCCAAAATCAACGCAGACCGCCTGATTTTGCACCTTGGAGTATCGCCCGACAGTTCTGTTCTGTAGCCCAGGCCGAAAAGCCCCGTCGAAATCAAAAGATTTCACTTTCATAGCTGCCTCATCGTGCACGTGCACCACGACGAAACAAGACGTCTCCTGCCCATCGCGGTTCAGGGTGCGACTTGCGTCCTTGGACTGCGCAGCAATGACATCGTGGTTGATTTTTTTCAGCACCTGGGCAAACGCATCCCTTGTTATCGCAATCGAGGTTGCTGACACGTTCTGGACTTCTGCGATTGGGAAGTCACGGGAGAATTTCTCAAACGTCTGGCACGGCACGCTCGGGGGACACGTGGCTATCTTCACCCTCCAGAGATTCGATATCCTCCAAGCGTGCTTGGCCCTGACAAGACATTTCAGTTCACTTCTGTGGCGCCTCGCTTGGGTTTTCCAATGATTGGCTTTCTTCCTCATGCTTGCCCAGGCCTCGGAATCTCGAGCCCGCTTCTTCGACCTCCCGTCTGGCACCTCGAACTCGGCCGACAACGCTTCGATCAACGCCTTGGCCGCGGACTTGGACCGGGCCGCGCCATGGAGGTCAGCAGCGGCAGTTTGGAACTTGAGTAGGCCTGTGCGCAATGCGAGAGCAACCCTCGAAAGTTTGTTCATATGCTACGAAAGCACTTCGAGGGATGAAAAAAACGACCCTACCCTGGATTACAAGCGCGTGGCCTGTAAACCTCCTGGGGGCCCCAAAGCCTAGAGCCGCCAGGGCGCGGCACATCGCGCAGGGTTTACCCTGTCAGCCCACAGGAGTTATAGAGCACAGCGCCTCGTATACCAGGGTAGAAGCGTTTTTTTTTCTGCCCTTGAGCAATGGCCCGCAAGGCAATTGAGGCCACCCTGAGCCACCTTGGCTACGGACGAACGAGACCAAGGCCAACATGATTGGACGAGGCAAAGTTATAGGAAAATGCACGGTCAGCGCTTGCACTGGTGGTGGGTGAGCACTCTCGGAAATTAGGGCATGTCGTGGTAACTGGTGCGACGCGTTGCAATGTGGTTCGCGCAAATGTTGGCGCTGGTACTGGTGGCGGTGGTCACGCGAATGGCAGTGGCAAAAACTGGGTGCCATGCTCGTTGGCGTTTGGCC